AGTATGTCTGAAATTAAAAGGGCTTTGGAGGTGCAAATGCTCATCTAATCCTATGAAGGGGATCCAGTCTGATGTCACAGTGGAAACCACCTTCCTCTACCCACCTTGACTTAGAAGTAGGGGCCGTGGCTCGCATTATTATAAAAATTTCAAAGGGTTGTAGCTACTCTCAAGCACAAACAGCCTTCTTGAGGCCTTCCTTCAGAATTCACTTCTGATTCTGACACTAGACACACCAATATTATTAAGAGATGTTACCTACTTATAGGCCTTTGTAGGAGAAATGATTGTAAAGCCAGTATTTTTCAGCTGGAAATGATTTGGACACCATTAGTGGTTTGGGTAGGTTCTAATTTGGGTTCTACACCACGTGGAATGGAGAGTTCACTTTCTGAGATCTTGTTCTTTAAATGCTTTTAGACAGATATCAGTCATCTCACCAGCATTGACACAGCTATGGACTCTAGTGGGGTTTAAACAACACAACTCTTTTGCTTGGTCTTCAGTAGTCTCATGAATTCTTGTAAGAAGGAGGTCATTTTATGCCATTGAACAAAATACATCAAGAATACAAATGTGGTGTCTCCCAGGGATCTGTTTTGCTTCATATTATTCATTAGATCCCTGGCATTTTATTATGGGTTACCTGATCATGTAAACCACAGATTTTGGTCTCTGCTCTGATGGATTGTTGCTATAAAATTGCCAGCTGATGTTTATCCATAGTCATAGAAATAACAATATTATTCACTATTCCTCTGTATTTTGTGTCATTATGACTATAAGGGCTTGTCTGAATAATAAAGATTCCCTTGAGTGGGACTCACTAGGGGAAATGACTGTTTAATAAAGATAGATAAAGTAGGTGAATCATTTTGACTACTTAGAGAAGCAATTATGCTAAAACTCCTGAACTTACACAAAGTCCTTCTGAACACATTGAGGGGTCAAACCCTGCCCCTTGAAATCACTGTAACGTTGCCCTGATTGCGAAAGGACTGAGATTTCACTTTAGGATTAGGAACAAATTTTTAACAGTGCAAGTTTGATTCATTTCCCTTGGTCAAACTTAACTGTTAGCATTATTTTTTTTTAATGCAAAGAATGTAAATGGTGTAAAAAACATAATTATATAAATATCTATAGTCTTATCTTCCTATGTTGAAATATGTGTTTAAAATGGATTTCTGCTAAATTATATGGCTTAGTTTTCTCTCTTTTCTGTGATGTGATACTTCACGCTACACTGCAAGAATAAGAATATGAGTTTATTAAGTTTACTCAGAAAACTATTCAGTCATCTGTATGAGCTCTTGGAGCTATGTCAACATTTTCTTGAAAGATATCTGAGATTATTTGATGTTTACTTTTTTAAGTACAGTATTTGTGAGTAAAAGTGCAGAAGAACATTTTATTACATTTTTAAATGTAATTCCTGATCCCATGGTGCTGTCTATATAAATCTGAACAAACCTACGAAATCACTATCTATATTAGATCAGCAAATCCTCTCAGTCCCAGAACTGGTCACTGTGTTAAGAATAAGAGGCAAAAGTGAAATTCCTTGGTAATAAAACTTCTGAGCGTTGACAACTGTGAGTTAATGCCATTTCTTGCAGCATTGCCTAGACCATTCAAAGGACACTACTCTTTATTATATGCCTTCCCTCTGTCCCTAAAGCTTCAATTCTAAAGTGCACATCTCACAGGTAACTAGTATATAATGTACTTTTCAATCAGCCTCCTAATTCTGTCAATGTAGCGTGAGTTTTAGATAAACCAGGAAGATGTGAAAGGCAGAATAAAGGGCTTAGGTCCTATGGTATCACTCACCTGTTTTAACCCTTCTGCTCTCTATGGGTAATGTATGGAAAGAAGTCTTCTCCAGGACAGTTCAGGGTGGCCCAGCTGCCCAGAAAGCAATGATGCCACCTCCCAGCTTTCCCACAAGCTCCCACCCCTCATCTTTTGGGGGAGATTTACATCTTCTTCCAACCTTTTCTCTCTGAGTCTTTTGTGAGACCATATTCGGGCAATAAAATGATGTTCTCCTTGAACCCACCAGTTCTGCAGGGGGGATGTTGCCCTATAAGTCCCAGTGCCTGTTCCGGTATTGTGCTCTCCTCACCCTAAGGTGCTTCTGTATTTCAGTGAATAGTGGAAGTGGGCAACAGCAAAAAGGTTTAGATGGTTTTGCTTTTGTATTGTCTTTTTGGTTTCATGAAAAAAAATTCCTAAAGGTGAAACAAAGGGTGAATCAGATTTCATCTGGAAAGTAGAATGAGGAGACTCGCAAGGGCCTGCCTCCTAATTACCAGATTTCCCATAACTTTTGTGTAAATCCCCTGCATTGAAGAATCTAAATGCAGCATTAAAATTTGTGTTGTGGTTTTTAAGCAGATCCAAGTTTTTACAGAGTAATTGTTGGCTGTTGTTATTATTTATGCTTGCCCATGCAGACCACGGTGGGCTTGTCTCCGCTGGCAGCATGGATAGGTTTAAATCTACTCTGATCAAGGCAGAATATCCTGCTGAGAGGCTCAGGTTCAGCATAATGCTAATAAAGTATGTGCCTCTTGGACAGGAGCTGCTTTCCATCTGGCCAGCCAGAGCATGGGCTTGAGTAAGGTTGCATTTGTGTGCAGTAATCCCTGTGGACCTACTTAAAAATTTTTTGGGGGCCAAATACCTAAGATAAATAAATGGCAAAAATACAGTCCCGTCTCAGAAGTACATGCTCCAGAGTCAACAGTCATGGAGTTTGTGGGAATACATAAGATGAAGGTCAGGGGCAGCTAATGACTATCTTCTGCAGGCCTTGAATCAGGCTAACCTTTACTGTGCGGCATAGATCATGGCCAATATGGAAACATCTGTGTTATGCAAATCCCTCTAAACTGGGTGAATAATAGGTTACCAAGTATACTTCTGAGCTGTTCCATGAATAGTGAATCTTACTTCAACAATTTCCTGCAAGTCAGTCCAACAAAAATCTGCATGATTCCTTGTGATGTATACACTGATGTTAGCTTCTGTGTTGACTGCTTTGAACTGAAAGTAGAAACAGTTTAAAAAAAAAAAACAAACAAAAACTTAGAGGTACCGAGAAATCCAAAAGATAGATTGAATTCATCTGAAATTTCTGGTCCAAATTTTGAGCAAACTTAGCTGTGATAGTTTTTTTTTGTTTTGTTTGGTTTGTTTTACTCCCTCGTCATTGCAGTGCTCTTTAAGAAATACCCTCTCTCCTATAGTCATATACCATTCCCCTTGAAATCGATAGGGAGACATGTGAGTGGGTCCTGGAGCAGAACTTGATCCTCTCCATGGAGAGAAGTAGGGAGGGAACTGCTAATGTGAACCGGAGGCAGGATTCTGACCGTCACTCCGTGAGTGAATGGGTGAGACCACTTGTGGGAGAAGATGCCAGTCATTAGACATAACACACTTCCCAGTCTATGGACTAAGGATAGGATCTGGTGGCAGTAGGTAAAGGTGAAACCTCTTAGCAGAAGGTTCAACACTGGTCCAACTCTGTTCTGCTATGCTACGGACAACAGTTGCAAAAGTCTTGAGAATAAATCCTTCCAAGGCTAATAGTTTTGCTATTTCAAAAAGCTGAAGTGCTGCGCTTCTGGATTGGATTGCTGCTATCTGGCGCTAGAGCTCATGAGATTAACATTTCATACTCATAGCATTTAAATAATTAGGAAATGTAATTTCTGGAGAAATAACAATGCAATTAAACAAAGACTAGCCTGATGATTTTCTTTTTAAGCATAAGCTTGGCCCAATCAGGAATTCTCGCAATTTAATTTGCACTGGCCAGAGATATGTGACTGTTTCCTGCAAAATATTTTACATTGCATAGATCACATTAACTGTAAACATGCTGAAATGCTCTCTATGACTGCTGCTGCTTCTGATTCATTGGTGACCTGTACAAGGAGGCAACACATGCTTATTGTTAAAAAAAGAACAGAAGGATCATCTATTGCTCAGATGAAAGACAGAGACAAAATAACCAATCTGTAATGCAGATTTATTAATAGTCATTCACTGATTTTCACTGAAATACTCTTCGTGTAACCTTGACTTTATTAAGTAGTCCTTAAGGTGCATTTTGAAGACAGATAATGAGTTTGGGGAATAGTCTTATCTACATCAAGCTAATCTTTAACAGCTTGGAAGGGAACTCGCAGAAACTTTTCCACTTTAAGTGACACAGCCATGTTCAAATCAAGCCTTTTAAAATGTCATTTTAATAGGAAGAGTTTACAGGCATTTTTAATAGCAACGCTTCATAGAGAAATGTAATTTAAATAAAGGTAATAGAAAAAGTTACTGAGTTTTTAATAGTATTAATGGGGCTGGAGGAGTGTTGGAGAAGCAGGAATCGTACTGCATGGAGTTGAGTGGCACTTAGGCTCTTGATTAATAAAGACAAGGCAGCCAGCCCTTCCACAAAAAAGAAATAATTTCATTTGCAGTGGCTGCCTCTTTAAAGGGGTGAACGCCGAAAGCTGGGGTTTTGAACAGTGTTTCGTGGCTGAGCCTGCACATGCCACGTTGTCCAACGTCCATGGGGAGACGCTTGAAGAACCCTCTGACCCGTTGCCGACGCAAAAACCAGTTGTGTGTGTGTGTGTGGGACAGAGAGGGATGGGGAGGGAAGGATAAAGAGAGAATGAAAAAGAAAACAAACGCAGACCCGCTCTTCTAATGAGACAGCTCAGATTTTTCCCATCTGGACTTTCCCCTCAGTTTCCCGGATGTCCTTGAGAATAATTTCACTTTTCCCACATCATATGTAAAATCAGACGTGTGGGTGTGCACCCCTGGGCACGCACCAGCCTTTCCGTCCAGCTCACTTGTATAAATGATTGCACGATGGGCTGAATTTTAACGCTCTTGGACAGCCAGATGAATTAAATGAGCCCTTTTCTGCTGATTCCACTTGGCTTAGCTCATTTTATTTTGCTTGCTTTCTTGTTTGGGTGTCGGATGTCCCAGCCCTCTCATGTGCACATACATTTGGTTTCTGACTAATATGAGGTCTCCGTCAGAGAAACAGCCTTTGTCGTTTCAAATCCAGCAGGTCTTAGACTCGGGTCGTGACTCAGCTACCACAAACTGTATGCAGAGGAGACCACAAATTCCTCCGGTAAGATTGTACTAGGCTTTCCGAGAACCCACTTCCCCCACTGATTATATTCCCCCCACATTGTTACCTGATTGACAGGTAACAAATACCCATGGTTCTTCAGTGACACCCCCCCCCCCTTTTTAAAATCTATTATTTGTTAGTTTTTTTGTCTTTCTATATCCGTAAGTATTTAAAATCTTATCTTTTCGCACGCATAGAGTACAGCACCGTTGGTTAGAAAGATAGCTGTAGAAGTTTTGAGTGGTTACACTCTAAGGCCTTATGGAAATATTTGCACCTCTCAAATTTATATGTGGAGTTTGGGGATTTTGTGCGGATAGCGAGTGCCGGGACAAAACTCCGTCGGTTTGGGTTTCCTTGAACCGCAGCTGCAGTTCTCATGGGCTTTGTGCATAAATCGGCTGAGGTTTCCTTGAACGGTTCCTGAACTTTCGCGAAACCTTTCGATGAAGCTGCTTGGGGCCGGGGGGACGAGGTAGGGCTGCTGAGCGCGAGGAGCTTCGTCGGGAAGGCTGCCACCAGGGCAGCTTCGTAGGCTGAGCCTTTTGTCCGGCTGGAGACCCACGGACGTTTCCAATTTGGAAGCCGAACGGGAGTTAACAAATCCGTTAACGAGCCTCAAACCCTTGCTGACCAGTAGTAAATTCCAGCTCAGTTTATTACTGAATGCAGCAGTTTGGCGCAAGTCCGCAGTGTCGTTTTGCAAGCGGACGGGGAGCAAGTCGGGATCTGAAATTCTAGCTACGAAACCCGGTCGCGAGACTCGGCCGGGGTGCAGCCCTTTCATTTAACTGCTCTTTTTTTAACGAAACGAGAGAATTCATCTGCCACGGCGCTATTCTGTGCTCTTTTGTCAATAGAAAAGTTGTTTTGCTAATGGTTATCTGTCTGCAAGTCCTTGACCTGCTTGTAAACACGTTTCTGCAGGAAAACCCCAGGCCGTGGCCTCGAGCCTTTACGTCAACAAGAAGAGATAAAGTGACCAAAACTTAACCTGATCTGGCCTGGAGTGCCCTCTACTGCCCCTTGACCAAATACTTCCCTAATCTGTGTCCTTCTGAAAGGAACAGATTGTCGCGTAAGAAGTATTACCTGGAAAGAAATCAATTTTTGGAGCCTGACCTCCTCCTCCCCTCCCCCTGCCCGTGGCCGAAGCCGGTTTGAATTGCCAGAGATGAAGCAACTCGGGCTGGGTCGGTTTTTGGTGGCAGGGTGGGAGTCTCCCCCAAATGCCCCCCCCGCAAGCACCCGTCTCCCGACGGCACCCCACGGGGTCGTGCCGCGTTAAACGCGCCGCCTTCCACGACGCGTGACAAACGCAGGAAAACCGAAGTGGCCGATCGAGTTGCTTTGAGAAGCCGTTCGCTGAGCCCCCGGGGTTTGGTCCTGGATCGCGGTGGCGCGAGCGGAGGCTCCCGTACAGCCAGCGCTCGGGGAGTCGCTAAACTCCGAGCGCGGCCCAAGGGGAAAGCCCTGACACCCAGCTGCTCTGCGGCGGCGGCGGTATACGCTCTTTATTCGTAAGAGCGGGGCCAGAAAAGTTGAGGTGCTCAGTGGAGGGGAAACGTACCCCGTGGGAAAGCCTCCGTTCGGCACATAAATTAAAAAAGAGCAGAAAAACAAAACAGCTTCTGCAGATAAGAAGATGAAACCCCGATTGCATTGCACAAAGGGGAGCGTTTGTTGTGTTTGCACCT